CTGCTCTCAGAACGGCTTTGAACCGGACGACGACCCAAGAAGCGAGCACCGAGCGAAGCTCGGTGCGCCGTCTTGGGCTCGAGGGAGGAACTTTGAAACTCCGACGCGTGTCGCGCCTCTCTCCCTCAGAACCCACTAGCAGCTAGAGACAGCGAGTAGTAGCTTCAGCGCCCGCCCGCCCGCATCCTGTATACATTCGGTAGAGAATACATGCTAAAACCGAGACGTTCCTCCAGCAAGCCGGGGCGAGCCTCCGGGCTCGCCCTCGGATTGCGCCCAAGGTTATCGGCCTCTCGGGGCCGATCGCCTTTCACCCACACCACAGGAGAACGTCGACTGCTCTCAGAACGGCTTTGAACCGGACGACGACCCAAGAAGTGACACCAGAACCGGCTGAGGGCCGCAGCCACGAGCGCTCGATCACGAGATACTCTGGCGCGTTAGCTTCACGCGTCCGACGCGTGCTCTTCCACCATAGCTGCCATGTCGATTGCAGACGAGCTGTGAGTCAACCATATAACACCGCGTGACGAGATACTGAAGCTCGTATAGAACAGTTCCTCCAGCTCCCCCATCGCGAGCAACCAGTACCGTCGTGGAGTCAGGGGACGCATATAAGCCGCCATCTTTCACGATCAACGCGTCGAACCGCTCGTACAAGCATCAGTATGCGAACATCTACTTCGTCAGGCTGCGGATGCTGCGAAAGTTTGTGGAAGACCGCGCGCAGAAACGTTGGGAAGGTATCGCAGGTGCGTCACCTCGTGCCTTCGGTCAAGTGCAGGCAGCTAAAGTGCTTTCGAAGGATCACCCGTGCTAGTCCCTCGCGTTTTGGACGTCGTCAAGTCGCAGCTATGCTACATTGTTGGCACAGTGTATATGGATATGCCACTGAAACCGAATGTCTTAGAGGATATAGGTCGTCATGTATGTATGTCTGCACCTCGTTCACCAAATGTGCCTTCTGATCATGCTCTCAGCACTCCATCCCTGTACCGCCCCCTCGAGAGAAGTTTTACTCTGAGACTGACTGTGTCATGCTCGAAGATGAATCTGGCCGCGTTCGACTCGTCGGGAAGGCCGTCACGGAGGCCGGCCTAGTTACGGGCGTGATCCTAGGCGCACTAGGCATCGAGACTCCTGGAGGCGACTTCGAGGTAGTGGATCTTTGCTACGCAGGAATGGCGCCTCAGGTATCAAGCCATCCAGCCAACGATGACCAAGACGACCATATGGACGTCGACGACGAGCCGCTATCTCCGGACGATGATGAGCACATCGCGCTTGTTTCAGGTCTTGAAGTGGGCAGCGTGGACGCTCCCGACGCGGAAATACAGTTGCTAATAGAGTACCTCACCGGGGAAGCGTCCTTATCATCCTCCAAGCGTATCTCGCGCTTGATCATTGCTGGGAACTCGGTTGGCTTCGCCCCGGAGGACGGGAAGCCGAAAGATCCTCGAAAACCGAAGAAAAAGAATATGGTTCGTCCATGGCTGGTCTTCCTGGAGTAGTGAGCCATCTCTGATTCGAAATATTCAGCGCAAATATGGCCAACCGGGCCCGGCTTCATTCTCTCCGAAGCCGATCAATACGCTCGCGGAGCACTTGCTGGACATTGCGTCCGCCGTGCCTATACACATTCTACCCGGCGAGATAGACCCGTCGGGCACGATGCTTCCTCAGCAAAAGTTCCCTCGCGCGATGCTAGGCCCCGCCTCGCGCTTTTCCTCCTTCCACCCTGAAACCAATCCCACGTACCTCCGTCTCTCTGTGGGCTCCCCAGATGCCACCGCATCGCAGGACCTTCCGGGCACGTCAAAGGCAGCCGCGGCGCGCCGACGGCGCTTGCGCCAGATCGACCGAACGCTGCTCGTGCACAGCGGGCAACCGCTGGACGACATGTTCAAATACCTACCCACCCCACCGTTCTCGCGGCTCGCGGTCGCCGAGCGCACGCTCCGTTGGAGGCATATGGCGCCGACCGCGCCCGACACGCTCTGGTGCCACCCGTACTTCTCCGCGGACCCGTTCGTGATCGCGCAGACGCCGGATGTGTACGTGATCGGGAACCAGCCTGAATTTCGGACGAAGGTCGTCGCGGACGAGGGCCCAGGCAAGTCGGGAGCGCGGGTGCGGATCGTGCTCGTCCCCCGGTTTTCGGAAACGGGTTTGCTGGTGCTCGTTAACTTGCGGACGTTGGGTGTCAGTACGGTGCGCTTCGATGTTGAAGGCATGGCTTCCGGCGAGAGATCTCGGCTGGAATAAAGTCCGGGTCGGATCTGTTGGACGTGTGCATGTATGCTACATAATTGGGGCTATAATGGTGTATCGCTAGATGAGTAGACTTCTCACATCCTCCACCGGGATGAAAAGCACGGCATGTGGCAACTAGGCTTCGAGATCTTGCTATGAATACATTTGTATGAGATGACCCACGAGAAATAAACTCAAATGCCTGCCCCTCCAGTGACCTCCAGCGTGTGACCCGTTACGAACGAAGCCAGAGGCGAGACCAAGCTGCGAAGGTGGCTCATTCAGTTGCGATAACGACAGTGTCGACGAATAAAGGAAAACTCACAATAACATCGCCCCTGCAGCCTCGTCTGGGCTCGCACCCCTTCCCAGCGGGATGCCTACCATCGCGCCGCTGCTGTTCGCCAGCTTCGCCGGTATACCAAGCGCGACGCTCTTGCCGCCAATTTCGATGCTCGCGCCGTCCTCCTTCGCGCGCGTAAGGCGTGTGTCTACGCGGCCGAAGGCAATCGTGTTCGCGCGCACGCCGAAGGGGCCCCACTCCTTCGCGACCGTCTTCGTCAGGCCGATCACGGCCGCCTTAGCGGCCGCGTAGTTCGCCTGGCCGACGTTTCCGTGCAATCCCGAGGTGGAGGACACGTTCACGATCGATCGGTTCTCCGGGGTAGCGCCCTCGGTGGCCTTGATGCGTAGGTAAGGCGCGGCGGCGCGGATGAGGCGGAAGGGCGCGCGAACGTGAATCTTCATGATGATGTCGTACGCTTCGTCCGGCATCGTGTGCAACATCTTGTCAAATGTGAATCCAGCTGCGTAGGGTATCGTCGATGAGCTCAGGCATACGTATACGTACAGCGCAACAGAGGGCCCTCACCGTTGTTGACAATGTGGTTCAGTTTGCCGTACTTGCTGTGAAAGCATATCAGCGGACGTGCTCCATAAACTTGGAGGCGACATAGTATCAACCTGATTGTTGCGTGCAGTATGACTTTCGGGAAGTCATCCGCGCCCACGTCTCCGGCAACGGCAATGGCTTCTCCGCCAGCAGCCTTGATTTCGTCCACCACAGCTTGCGCCTTTGCTCCGTCAAGGCTATAGACGCAAGTTATACGTAAGACGAGTGTTCTGCATGGAGGTCAAGTAGGAGTTGACTGACTCGCTGACCACTACCCTCGCTCCCTCCTTCGCGAACAACAACGCGGTCGACCGACCAATCCCTTGCGCTGCTCCGGTCACGATGGCTACTTCCCCGGCGAGAAGCCCCCGGCCGTACGAGTTGGTGAGGTGACCAGTCACTTGTTTCAACCTGTCGGCCATTGCAAAGGACGACGAGAGAGGACAAGAGTATGGTCGTACGTCAAGCCGAGCAAAGTCTCAGTGCGACTGACCCTGCATACCGGCAACTACCTGAGCCGAGTTCCGGATCATATTTACGGAAGTAGACTTGCCTATTTGGGCTAGCGCTCGCACGGCATAGATAAGTACTAGAACCAAGGATTCTCGGCGTCGATTGAAGATGGTATTACATTTACATCGAATGAAGCGTCGTCGATCAAATTATACAGCTTTTCCATATCGCCGTCTTCGTCTCCCCAGTACATATCCTCGTCATCGTCCTCTTTTGGCGCTGCATCGGCATCTCCGAGCGCCGCATCGGAGTCGAGTATAGGCACGTCATCCGACGGAGGCAGCATTTCCCCTCTTTCTGTTTGTCGAAAAGGGTCCGTATCAGGGCCGAGCGGGTTTGGTTCGGGGTCCGAACGCGGCGCGCTACTGCTAGGTGGCAGAGCTACGTCCGCGGGCTGAAGGGCAGGTGTTCCGGCTGGAGCAGAAAGCGCGCCAGGTGAGGCTAGCTGAAACGTAGGCGCCTTGGCAGGCGCAGGAGCATTTGTGCTTGATGCATCGCGGAAGCAAGAGATGCCGCCCCGGGTGACCACGTAATCCACGGATCCGGGTCGAGCTACCGCACTGAACACGATAGTGAGGCGCCGGATGACAGTGGGCTCCCCGTCTTGCAACAGCGAATTTGCGTCATCAGGTTCTGTATCCGAGTTTGCATCGTCGCCGTTGAGCCGCCGGCGCTTCAGAGCGCGTACCTCGTCCTCGTCGAGATGCCGCCGCCGGCCGGTGCGGCTCAGCATCAGTCGTGCGTTGACCTGGTTCGTCCACACCAGTCCGAGATCGGCCTGTTTGCGATCTTCGCCCGGCATGCTGTTTGCGCGACCGAACCACCGGCTTTGTTCGCGGTAAAGCACGTCCGCACCCGCCTCGCGCGAGGGTGGAAGGTCATCGCGGTCGAACACGTCCGTGACCTCGTTCAGGACGACGATGGCGAGCCCGCGCTGGGATGCAAGGGCGTGCAGAGAGGCGGAAAGCGCGGAGATGATCTTCGAGCGCTCGAAGAGCCAGTGAGAAGTCGTGCGCGTCTCGGAGTGGAAGAGCTCGGTGAGGGTGTCGATTACAACCAGTCTGACGGGCCGCGCGCCCGAGCGGTCGCTTATCTGGTTAACAAAGCGCGGAAGGACGACGTCGAGAACGTGCTGGAGCATTGGAGGCGTGGGTGTATGAAGTGTGTGGATGTCTGCCAGGCCGCATATATTCGGGTCAAGACGCGGGTGGTTCTGAGCGATTTCCAGCAAGCGAGTGGTTGGCAGCCTGGACCGCGTCGTAATATAGCAGGAGGAGCCGGAGAGACCACCCATTTCCGGGGGGAACTGCACGGCTAGCGAGAGTTGGAGCGCGAGTTGTGTCTTGCCGGCCGCACTGGAGCGAGCGCATCAACGTCACAGAGACAGACGCGTCCACAACACGTACCTCTCACCGGAAACGTCCCACATCATTCCCGTTTGGATGCCCCCGCCAAGAAGCGCGTCTAACGCGTCGTCCGCGGTGGTGATCGTGCCACTCACCGCGTCGTCGAACGCGTCCTGGAGTGGGTGGGTAGGCCGGCGCAGCTCGGTGCATATGGCGTCCAGCGCTCGGTTAACCTCAGATATATGCACTCGGCATCGCTTGGCGACATCGCTCGGTGGTGGGCAGAGTACGTCTGGAACGGTCTTGAAGTTGCCTGAAAGCAGTTGAGTATATGAGATCGAGTAGGTAAATCGCGTTCGCAAGCGAACCTTTGCGTAGCATAGCTCGCTGAGGAACCGTCAAGCATTTCAACGTGTCAAGAGCATGGTGCCGGTCTTCCATGGCATGGCGCACGATGAGCACTGGTGAAGTATACGAGAAACCGGCGAATCTGCGCTGTCGGCCACCCCCGACGAAGATACGGGCACTCATTGATTACATCATGTGATAACTGGATCCCCCCCATCTCGCACCGCGTCCACGCCGCGCGCCGGTGCCTGCTGTTCCATACTTGGCTTCAGCATCGCCCGACGCCAACATCTGCGGAGCCCGCTCTGCGCGCTCCTTCACATCTACGGACTCTTGATTATTCTTCTTTGCATTTCCTGCGCATATCTGGCCTCAAATCGTCGTAATGTTTGCCAAATTACCACAGAGCTTGCCGTTCGGCAAGCACTTGCTACCGGACGAGGCTAAGCTTGCATTCCGCAGTCAACCTAGCGGCATAGCGAAACTAGCAACGACGAGGGTATGCAGACCGTTCTTTGCGATACCTAGTAAGGCTAATGCTGATCTTAGAACATCCCTGCGACGGACTCGTATTGGGATCAAGTGTGTCTGTCCCCCATTCCTGGGTCATCATATGGCAGCTAACCACCTGATGAACAGTATGTTACGCTCTTTGACTCGGCCTCTGAGGTATATTCTCTCATCACCGCGAATGACCGTGAGCAGCATTGTCGCGTCTTAGTGGTATTTGGTGCTCACGTCCTCATCCAGTCCGCCGAGCACTGCTTGCTGCACCCGAAAACATCGCGACCCTTATCAGAGTCATCTGCTCCCGCCTCTTCAATCTTGTCTCGGACCACACCTTCCCAACCCCGCCGCAGAGTGCAGCCTTCACCTTCATCAAGAGCACCACGACCGCCGCGAACTCGGAACGAAACACAACGAAGGAGGCGCTCAACTGCGTGCGCGTGCTTCAGCGTGTGTTCCCTGTCGTATTCGAAGTCGAGAATGAAACGAGCCGATTCGAAATGGAGGTGCTCTGGAAGAAGGAGGTGCTCCCCTACCAACCCGATGACGACGAGGCGCCCGCGGTATCCTCACAGACGCAGTTCGTTATCGAGGACGACGACTCCGACGACGAGGAAGGTGGGCGCAAGGCCGGCCCGGCTACATCTTCCTCTTCGCCTCCTCCTGTTCCGCCTAAAAAGGCGCCTAAAACTGGCCCGTCCCTCGCCGAGCGCCTCTTCAGCTGCATAATCGACCTACTCTTTTGCTGTGGCTTTACCCTTCCGACGAAGATTCAGCACGATCACTACAAGATCAACTACGTAATCTGGTCCGTTTCAGATTCATAGTCCTTCTACACTCTTCTAACTCGCATGTCCGTCTCTTTACGCAGGGAGAAAGGCGTTGGCTCCACCGTTGACCCGGGCCCGAGTCATCAATACGACGCGAACAAGACCGAAGTCCTTCGCCTCCTCCTTGTCCTCCTATCTCGCGAGATCTATGTTGCACCTGCCGCGTCTCTCCTCGCCCCCTCGTTCTACACCCTCCATTTCGTGCAACAGACGCCGCGGCGGGACGTGCTCACCGTGCTCTGCTCGCTCCTCAACACATGCCTGAATGCGCCCGCCACCGCGAGTGGGATGGCGGCCATCGGCGCCGTCACCGGCAAGCTGCCGTACAACCACCTCGTCTTCAAGGGCGAGGATCCGCGAACAACTCTCGTGAGCGTGTGCTTCCAGATATTGGTAGTCCTGCTCGACTTCCAAAGCGCGACGGCGCGTGACGTGATTGTTGGCGCCGGAGAGCAGCAGACGTCGGCGCCGACAGTGCAGACGAACGCGTTTAGGTATTTCTTGGCCAAGCTGGTGAGTGTGCTACTTCGTTCACCCCTCGAGGTGGGATATGGAAACTGATGCCTTTGTGCCGATAGCACCGGATACAAGATTTCGAGTTCATTCTTCACGGGATTGTCGGAATCCTCGAAGAGCAAATGGCCTCATACAACAACCTACTACCAGGATCCCGCAAAGGTGTTCCATACATCGTAGAAACAGGTATGCCCATCCAATATCCTACGAACGTCCGAGATTAAGTAGCTGTCCTTTCTGTAGTCGTCTTTTTCTGGAAGATGATCGAGCTCAACAAGGTAGGTCTCCCGTTACTTGAACTCGTTGGCACATCTAAAAGATACGTCGCGGATAGAAATTCCGTGCTTACCTCCTGAACTCCGACAAGGCAGGCGATGTCCTGGCATACCTCCTTACCTTCAGCCTGGAGATCAAGGATAAGCCACGTATGTGCTCTCTTCTTGACAATACCTGTGCATATCTAACGCCCACGCAGAGCAACACGGCCTTTGTCGTGCGCTGTCATACATCATCCAGACGCTTTCCGCCGAGCGTGCCTTTGGGATGAAACTTACCACGCCAATGAAGACGCCTCTCCCTGCCAAGTACAACGCACAGGGAACATTGGGAGACTTCATGATCACCGTGCGGTTTCTTCTTGTAGGCGTATCTTGACTGTTCGTTGACGTTGGGTTTGACAGGCCATATACGCCATTGTCGCGACAACATCTGGGGCACTCAATTCTATATATCCAGCGCTGATCATCGCCTTATCAAACGCAGCGCCTTACTTCAAGGGCCTCAGCGTCACGGCGTCTACTCGGCTGGTACAATTATTCAACGCGTTCGCTAACCCGACGTTCCTGCTGTCCGATGAAGGTCATCCGCGACTACTGTACTTCATGTACGTTCGCACGCCCCCCAATGCGTGTGGCTGAGCTGACGACGGCCCTTGACCAGGCTGGAGGTGTTCAACTCCGTCATCCTCCACAACCTGTCGGATAACCCAAACCTCGTGTACGCCATCCTCGTTTCGCACAAGACCTTCCAGGACCTCGGCACGTTCACCCTCGCCCGCGGCCTGCGCGAGGTGCGACGCGTGCAGCTCGCCAAGGAGGAGCAGGCAAAAAAGGCCGAGGGCGACGCGAAGGGCAAGGGCCGCGGCTCGGGCGAGGCCCACGTCGAGAAAGCGCGCCTGCTGGAGCGCGAAAGCCAGAGCGCGCGCCAGTCGGAGGAGAACTTGTCGCGGCTCGAGCGCCAGGACTCGGGCGTCGAGGTCACGCGGCCGCTGATGTCGCCCACATCCGGAGAGCCGCCGGCGTCGCGGACGGGGAGCCCGGCGCGGGCATCGGAGAAGGCGAGGGGAAAGATGCGGGAAAGGAGGTCGATTTCGATGGACAGCGAGCTGGAGCGTATCGCGTCCGCGGGTGTCGGTCGGAATGGCTTCGTGCCGACGCAGGAATGGGTAAGCCATAGCTATTTCATCGCTGCCGTACGGACGCTGAGACCGGATTCCACTGCAGGTCACGTCGTGGCAACAAGGGTAAGAAGCTGTCTTACACCTCTCTTGCTATGGCTTCGCAACTTAGCGATTATCTTGTCCAGACTTCCCTTGGACCCCGTGATGCTCCTCATATCCGAGCTGCTGCCTAGGTTGCAGGATCTACAAACTCGCTCTGGCGCCAAGTCGTCAGCAGCCATAACAGACTTCCTCAGCAGCGTCAACTTATCGCACGTACTTCCGCCTCCGCCGCCAATCAACCCTCGGAGATTCGTCGTGAGTAATCACAATTTTCCACCCTAAAGCTTGGAAGCCGACGTTTTCACGTAGTGGTCGGACGCGTCGATCATATGGCTGACCTCGCTCATATGGGGCGAGATATACGTACGGGGCATGACCCCGCTCGGCATCTGGAACAACACCAACGTTCGGCTGTTCTACGTCAAGCATTCGCAGCAGCAGCCTCGGCAGCTGACGGAGACGGTCACCAACGTCGTTGGTGGATTGCTCGGGCGTGGCGCCGACACGTCGCAGCGGTGATCGCTCTATGAGGTCATCATGTCATTATACTAACCGTACTCCTACTTGTACATTGTAACTGGGCGAGGGCGCTTGCGCTTTTCGTTTCGCTATCTTTTCCTCGTGCTGTTTTTGTCGGCCGTGATATCCAGGCATTTCGTCTCGGGCTCGAGCATAGTCCGATCAAGAAAGCAGCCACCTGATAACCCCTTGGTATTCCTCGTCCTGTCGACGTTCCGGGCGGTAAGGGGGCGGTGCGCTTCCGAGGTCCGACGTACCCTGTGGCAGCGGGCCCAACGCGAACGAGTTGCCCGACGTCACCTCGTCCCGAAGATGAATGATGCGCGGCAAGCCCACCGAAGGAGCGGTCCCGGCCGGCGGAACCGCGCCCCTCCTGGGGTAATCTCGAGCGAGTGGCAGGGCGGGTTCGACCTCTTTGCGCTGACGGCGGCGATATATCCAGCCGGGGAGGCCCGACTGGTCTTGGATCGCGGTCAGGCAGCAGCTCGCGATGCCTGGGGTGAACGACGATTCACTTCGACTGCGACCGAGGGAGGGAGGTGAGAGAACGCACTCAGAACGACGGCGAACCATGATACTGCCAGGACCCAAAGGGCGGTTGTACAGCCGGGGTCTACCGGCCTGTAGTCGATGCAGACCCGCCAGATTCCCTCAGTGTGACTGCGTCTGGTCAGTGTGGTAAAGACGATGGCGGCGACTGTGCATTACAGAATTAGGAAGATCAGAACCGATGACGAGCCTCCAGTAAAACCTCACCCAGATCGAAAAGAAAGAGAGCGGCGGAGCTCGCCGCCTCTATGAGCCAGTGGTCCATCGTGCCACGTCGAATACATTTAAGGCTCGCTCTGCTCCGGCGTCAGCCATTTACACCCGCGCATTCTGGAGAGCTTTCCACCTACGCGATCATAAGCACGCAAAGGGCCGTCGCCCAGAACGCCACCGCGACCGTTTCCGCCACTGCAAGACTAGATGAGCTTGCGAAAATGCACGATGCCGCAATATGCTGACCTAGAAGATCTGCCGCCTTCACGATAGGACGCACCGTCAACGCAATCAGAGCGACGTGCGACATGAGGAGGCCGCATGCTGGCGGTAGGCTCGGTATGAGCACACAGTGTCCAGAACTGCAGAGTTGCAGGACGTACCGAAGCCGAGACGGTACCATCCGTGTGACAGACCAGCAACCGCGGATACCATGGTAAAATCTACAAGAGGAGGTTGATGGAGAAATCCCTGCTCGAACACGTCCTCTTTATACGTGCGGAAGTGGCCCATCGGAGGCCCTGCCACCCGTAAGCTAGCGGGGGCCACACGCGTTGCATTGCTATGATCGTCGGAGTTCGTCCAAAGCAAAGCCAGAGCAGACAGAGGGGGTTTCCGCCCTCCGATCCTTTGCGCTAACCCCATGTGCTAGTAGTTTCACTCGGGGCATTGTGTCGATGAGTGTCCGATGCAAAGGCAGCAGGAGTGGAAAGCAAGATGAGCGCAAGCAGGTTATAGCGGTGACGAGTGGCATACGCTCGTCTCTGTTCTGGCAACTCGCTACGGCCAGAGAGATGACACGACAAAAGTGGTCAGGTCCAATCCTGGAGGGACGCTGAGTCTGAGGTCAGACGGCAAAACAGCCGTGTCGAAGTCGAAGTCGTCGCGAGAGGTTGACGAGCAGGCCATCCTGACGATCCCGACGTCATCGACATCCTCCTCTTGGTCTATGGCCACCACATATCTCCCACCGCTTGCCCACTGCGCTTAACGTCTCAACGCGGGCCCTGTATCCGCATCACTGCCGATGCCCGGTGAGGCGTAGGTGACTTGTCCGCACCCACGTATGCCGAAGTCGTTTGCCGCTCAAGGCCAACCAAATACTCCCCCCGCCGTCGGGCCTTTCCGACTCATCGCAACCCCAGTGTCTGACTCGCTGGAGATCATGCATCAAACCCTGTCAAGTCTCCGATGGAGACATCGCTTTCGCTGCCTACGAACCCATCTGTTGATGTTTCAGGACGGATGAACCACGAGAGATACTCGTCTGGGCTATCCAACGTATGTGCGCGCCCCCGATCTCTGCATCGTCTTCCGACCTCATCCACAGTCGCGGTGAATGAGTCGAGTAGCAGCTCAAGAAGTGTTGCCGGCATCTGCTAGCGCTCCTAATTCGAAGTCGTTCCGTTGACGAACGCTGCATAGCAACCTATAAGTGCGTCGTCGCTTTTGGATCGGACATGCGTGCCCGAGGTGCGTTGCAATACATCTTCGACGCTTCGAGCGCAGTCTCACATATGCGCCCAGTGCCACGATTCCCCGCATTTCATGAACGACGACGGGATCTCAAACCCGAGATGCAGAGGAGGCAACGTATGGCCGGTTACACTCATGATACCTGCGCGTACCCAACACTGGTAAGGTCTCGCCTCATGTCCGGTATCTGTCTGGATGCTTATGCGTAGCATGTAGCTGCCCATTCGGAAAGCCATGCTGTACACGCTCAACGTATACGTGTCGGAAAATGCCCTCGTCATGACCACGGGCATGGGAAAACGAATTGAACAAGGCCGTCACCATGCGCATGTGCTAGTCGACATCGAGTCAACGGCGATGCGGTACCTTCGGTCCTCCGAGGCTCTGACGACTTCGCTCCCCTGCGCGGAGTATCGATCGCAATGGTACCGACTTGGCCGCAGCGCATCCCCAATCTGTGCACGAAGTGCGCCGTCGCGACCACCTTCAGGGTGTTGAACATGCGAGATGGAGTAGAACGGCGAGGTAGCTAGGAGGAGGGCGGATGGACGATGAACATCGGAGATGCGCACGTCGAAGACGTTTAGAAATACCAAGATCCTCGCGATGGGAGCACTCTAATCGCAAGATGGGGGTGGGATCGAAGACGACATGCATGAGGTGAGCTTACATTGTCGCCATACGCTAGTGTTCACCATAGCTCTCCTCGGGACCGCGCTTCAACTCGTGGGACGTACCTTTGCTCGATGGATATGAGAAACACGGCTGTGCGGGGACACAAAAAAGTTCTTTCCTCGGCAGCCCGGTTAACCGCCAGTTCATATTTGTACTTCCCCATCATGACCAATCCTAAGAATAATACACTGTGGACTCTGGGGCGACCGCTACTTGCACGATGTGTGATACATAAGGTTACCGCCTCAACGAACGCGCATCGGTAAACCAAGGGAAAACAAACGGCCTACGCGACGTGTTGCGTCTATGTACAACTTGGAAGAGGCCCACAGCAGCCGATACGGGCCAAAGGCCTTCGCGGCGCCATCCAAACTTCGGGGAATGTCCAAGGTGGAACGGTGACTGGAGGGATGTCGGATCGTGGATGGCCACAGCTTCATGCGCATACATCCGGTCGATGATTCGATGCTGTCCGTCGCCATCGGCCCGTCAGTTAGGTCCGTACGGAGCCAGCGCGGAATACACACCTAGCAAACAATCCCATTCTGACACGCCAAACCAGCCTAATCGATCTCCGCGTCCCATATTTTTACCATGTTGTCGCCGCCGCCCGAGACGACGCGCTTGCCATCGGGCGAGAACGCGACGGAGTTGATCCCACTGCCACTGTGAGCTTCCCAAGGCCCCGCCACGGTCTGTCCCGTCTGCGCGTCCCATATCCGCATCGTGCCGTCTTCGGAGCCGGAGACGATGTACTTGCCATCCGGCGAGAATGCCACGGAGTTGACGTCTTTTTTGTGCCCTTGCAGTGGCCCCACCACCGTCTGCCTTGTCTGAGCGTTCCAGATCCGGATCGTGTTGTCTACGGAGCCCGAGACGATGCGCGCGCCATCGGGAGAATATGCGACTGACCAAACCCAGCCATCGTGGCCTTGCAGCGGGTCCCCGACTGGCTGGCCTGTCTCGGCGTCCAAGAGTCGAATCGTGTCGTCGCTGGATCCAGAGGCGATGTGCTTCCCATCCGGTGAAAATGCGGCACTGTTAACCCAGTTAGAGTGACCCCGGAAAGACTCGCCGATGGCCTGTCCCGTGTGCGCGTCCCAGAGTCGGAGCGTCCCGTCGCGTGAGCGCGAGACGATGCGGATGCCGTCGGGTGAGAATGCGACAGAGTAAACCCAGTCCGTATGCCCTTCGAGCGGCTGCCCGATCTGCTGCCCTGTCTGTACGTCCCACAGTCGCACGGTCATGTCATCCGAGGCCGAGGCAAGGCACTTTCCATCGGGGGAAAACGACACGGAGTTGACCCAGTCAGTGTGCCCCCGTAAAGGCTCGCGGATTTCCTTTCCTGTATCCGCGTTCCAAAGTCGGATCGTGTTGTCCCGAGAGCCCGACGCGAGCTGCGAGCCATCCGGAGAGAATGAGACGGAGTTCACATCGCCAGTATGGCCTTGCATCGTACGCTGCAGCGCTGTCGCTGTAAACGAAATTGGGGGTTGGAAGGTAGAATACGAATAACACATCCAATAACCGTGTCTTACCGGTCTTAAACAGCAGCTGATCGAGCACTTGCCGATCGGCATCCGAGAGACCTTCATGTACCAGCTTCGCAACGAGCCCTTGAGCAGAATTATATGGTCCCAGCCACGCTAGTACCTCCGACATGTCAGGTCGCTCAAACGGGTCTGCTAACCAGCACGAGCTAATGACAACCTCCCATATAAAGTCATCCAGACCTAGGTCTTGTGCGTGCGGAGGGCGCATGGGTCGTGTGCCATCAAGGACTTCACGAAGGATCACGAATACGTTTTGAATATCGTAGAATGGGTGTCTCCCGTCAAAGATCTGTAAATGGAATTATATTGGGTGATTTAACGACCCGGCCTACACCTACCTCCCATGTTGTCATACCAAACGCATATACGTCGGACTTCGAGGTCAAGATTTTATTCTTCGCCATGTGATCGTTCAACTCGGGAGCCATGTAACAGAATGAGCCCCAGTTTGCGGACGATCCGGCGGTCGCTGCCAACGAAGCGGTACCAAGGATCGTCGTGGCAAGACCAAAATCGCTAAGACGTGCACGCCCGATTTTGTCCACAAGAACGTTGCGCTGCGTTCCAACGACTCTTGAGTCTGGGATGACCGTTCAGGAAGCCGCTAACTCACGCTTTTGAGATCCCCGTGTACGAGTCCGCTCGCATGCATGTAATCCAAGCCACGGGCAATGTCTATGATCTGATAGTGTCTTTGTGAGCTTGGCGCGGTGCGCATCAATGCGACTCTCACGAGTTCAATGCGATTGGCGCGTGGGTGGTCTTCGAGATACGACATAATATCGCCGTTATCCATCCATTCCGACACGATGCATGCGTGGTTCCCAGGTTCAACGCCGATGAAGGGGACGATATTGGGATGATTCAGTCGCTTCCAAACGACCGCCTCCCTGCAGAAGACCTGACCATCGGTATGAAGTTAGTCCAGCGTATAGTTTTATCCCGTAGCGCGATGAGGAACGCACCTTCATATACGTTTTTCGATCTCTAGTGTGCAGTCTGATAACCTTCAGCGCGACGGAAGTACCATTGTAGGTCCCTGGGTACACATCCGCGAATCCACCAGCGCAGGGCGGATCATCCCCGACCTTTGCAAGTCCCGGCAACCTGTATCTTGTAGGTACGAGCCTGTTCTCTCCGCATAGTCTGCTCAGCGTGCGCAGAGACGTTCTAAACTGGTCGTCAGTGCGAAGTATCGAGTCGAGGCCCTAGATTGCCATGCTGAGTGTCCGGTTTTGCTCCAGCGCGCTCCAGCCGACCGCCACTCACCCGATCCAACTCGTCTATCTCCTCCTGCAAAGCTGCGGTGTGAGATGCCGGACTGTCACCCATGGAGTTTGGTATGAGCGCGGGTGAAGGAGACGGTGGAGCGAAGGAGATGCGACTCGACGGTGTGTTGTCGATAGCTTGGATCGCGATTAGCGCCGAGGGGGCTCGTTGGGGTTGAGGCCCGGTCAAAAGTCGCACGGCGCGGAACGGCGGAGAACTGCGATGAGCAGCGTGGAGTGGTGCACGCAGATTCCGCCGCTGAGCGCTGGCTTGGGCACACTGGCGCCGAAAAAGCGAAATAAGAAAGTGTCTACAGCGGCGATGTGCGGCGTGGTATGGCGCAGAGCAGCACGAAACGGCGACTGCACACGTGCACGATCTCCGCCGATATGCGCCTGTTCGCGCCGCTCGATTGATACACCAAATTGTTATTTATTACTCATATAGGTTACAATATACAATATATGCTACCCTAGGAATCATACAGTATGAAATAAAGTGCGAAGGGGTACGCACCCGCTGCCAACCTGCCCCGGTGCGGTCTGAAGCCTCGCCGCGACCAGCAACATGCTGAGCTATTGACACAACCGGCTGCAACCGTTGCGAGGTTTTGTGCACGACAATCTGGATGGATGAATGCTCTGATGCGCGATCCTTGGGCGGAAGATGCCACCTGAAAACTTCCATGAGTGAATGGGAGACATAAACTGAAGGAATGAGACCGGTACCTACAATGTGCCGTTGACTTGCAATCGCACACGAGGAAACCAGCGGCCACATATGCCGAATCCCGCAATCTGCATGCCATCAAGCGCAAAATATGAGCGCATATGCAACGAGAAAACAGGTGTCGACGTTACCCTTTACAGTCCTCTAGATTTGATTTCCAGAAGAGCTGCATATACGCGGCAATTCCGATAACTTCCAAGGGTTTTGACCCACCTTAGATACACGGTTGAACTGTGTGGCGTCGGAGTCGACATCAGTGCATGAGTCAAGTCCGACCAGTCCTTGGGCACAGACAGACCACAACTTCGAGCGGTAATCTGGTCCAACAGGATCCTGTGGTACACATCAAAAGCGTACCTGATATATTGAAGCAAGAAGAAAAAGCCAGTTCCTGTCTGACATATAACCAGATGAAACCACCGAGCGACATTCCAAGCAGAAGGGGTGATGTCGATGAAGATGGGCGAAGACAAAGCGGCGGCCGGACTTCGTCGCAGAGGGGAGAAAAAGTGAACACGTGATCAAATAGAACTCGTTGTGTGGTAGTACTATATGACACCCTCACTTCGTCAATCCCGCCGAATCGTCAGTCACAGACGGGTAACGCATCGGAAGCACTTGCCGCCATCAACATTTCGAACTCCGCCAGACTCTTCGTTGCGCCGTTTCTCGTCCCGCGCCGGTCATCGCCCTACTTTGTTAATCCCTTGCAGACCCCATTAATCAAAAAAAAAAAGACATCGATAAAGATGAAATAGAGATTGTCGTTGTGTTCCGTCAACGTGTCGGTGCGCGTTGCGCGGCTGGGCGTCAATGCGCTTGCGGTTTTTGAAGTCCGCTCGGCTATTGTCCTGCCGCGCATCGGCAGCTCATCACAGCGTGACTCTGCTCGAAGTAGCATTGCTCGAGTTTCAGCAGATTAATTCTCTTGCTAATGCGTGGAACATGTTCAGATATGTACTCTAAGCTCTCAGAGCAAGAACAAAGCGAAACGGTGTGGTAGATGTTGAGATATCAAATTCTGACGATTCGGCGGGAGTGACGAAGTGAGGGTGTCATATAGTAC